CCCTGCCAGGGAGTAAGGAAGCTTATGAAGCTGCCCATCAATTCTGGCGTTTACTGCCCTTGCTGTGAGCAGCAGCGCTGATGGCAGTTCTCATCTATAGGATGTTCTTGTTCTAGGTAGGCATGCAGAGAGGGAGAGGAGGGCAGGCTGAGGGGAGCATCTGGAAGGGAAAGGCAGAAAGAGACATAAAAGCAATCTGTAGTTATCTGGAGTTGATAACTGTGACCTATGCATCCATAAGAGAGAACCTGCAAACAGGGTTGTAGAGGTGGGACATATCATCTGTCTTCTTGTCTTCTCTTCAGGCAGCATAACTGCATGTTGGCATTTGTGCATGGATTTTGGCAAAGGCACTTTTCTGTCTGTGGTTATTCTTAAAGGCCTGAATACTTGCAATGAAATCATATTTTCTGGGAAATTTTTCAGATAAAGTAATTTCCACATTTCTCTGGACTCAAATAACTCCTGGTGTATTTATTATCTTTTTCTGTTACAAGAAGTTCCATTACATTTGAGAATTACACAAAGCTGGTTGCACTGTTTTGGTAAGCATGTTTACATGTGTATTAAGCATCTTACATTTATTTATGCATATGCATACACAGATGCACATATATGCATACAGGTATTTATCACTCAAGACCAGTGTTTCTGGATGCTAGAGTTGCTCTAATTCCAAGACATGGAAATGTAAAACTAGAAATAGGAAGCTAATGTGTCCATGTATCTGTTGCTTTCTTGTTTTGAGAGTTGGGAAGGCAGATGTCTTCTAGTGATAAGCAGTGGCAAACTTTTAAAACAATAACAGTAAATTTAAAGTACTTCATGTTCTTGTTGAGTAAAATAGAACCGCAGTCCCTTAAAATAGTCCATACTTCAGCAGATACTTGTGAACCAGCGGTCTCTTGCTTGTGTTGTTTTTTTAACAGACCTGTCTAGTAGGGTTTGCAAAAGTCTGCTTCTGTCTGTCTGGTTTAGGCTATAAGCTGATAGGTCAGTCACGAAGGAATAAATGGGCCATCATGCAGCTGCAGGAACACTTTCTTTATAATCATGTAATGAAAGGAAAAGCTCACACTTGTTGGTAGTTACAGCAGGAAAAGACTTTGTGTTAAGGAGAAGGTGTTTGATTGTCATTCAACCTACACTTTGGGCATAGTGTGTGGTGTTTGATCAAAAACTAGGTTAAATGATTACCACTCCTGTCTCACATCCTCCTTCGGTAAAACTGCTTTTGGTTTCTAGCTTTGCCAGGGCAAAACTGCACCATTTCAGAGCCTTTTCATGACATACTGCCCATTCCAGTGATCCAGCACCTGTGGAAGGGCTATGCAGTCATCGAATCTCTATTGCAAATACTGGCAAAAGGGTTATTTATAAACTGCAAATTGAGCGAAAGCTGTCACACCCCTCTGGTGCCAGGAGGTTGCAAGCACACTGGTTTCCTCTTTGATCTCAAGTCAACTGCAGGGGAGAAAACGTAATGGCTTTTGGCTATTCGTGCAAGTCCTTCATACTTGCATATGGAAGGAATGTACTTGACAGTGATTCATATTTATGATACAGAGCAAATCCAAAGAGGCTGTTCTTTTGTTCTGCTTTCGGCCACCATACATCAGGTTGCCTGTTTATCCCAGCCAGGCTGGTGGACGCCCCATGTTTTCTTCACAGCACTGCAACTACGACAATGCTCAGGCTCCCTTGATGCACCAGCCTGACCAGTATGGGTAGGTAGCAATGTAAACTAGACTTGCTGTGGGACCTTAGCAGTTGTTTTTTAACGTTTATGAACGTGCCATCTGGCTGCTGAAGGAATATAAAAATCATGTGAAAGGTACACAAACACTTGCATCGTAGAGGGGATTTTAGTTTTTTTGTTTTCTTTTTACTACCAGTACTGTGACAGTACAATGAAAATCTGCATGTGACTTGCTCGCACACCTGCATGACTTTTGGCATGGCTCCATTTCCTTGTGCCTGAGAGGCAAATGGAGAACCTCATCCTGAGAAGGAATGAGATCCCTCCTCCCCCTGACTCAAGCACTGTCCTTCTCCCCTCATTGTTGGTGTTTTTTGTCTCGCAGCAGTGCTGTGCAACCCCGGTTTCTTGACTTGGTGGTGGTATTGTCATTGTTGCCTGGACAGTGAGCTGCAACCCCCAAAGTATGATCCCTTTCTGAGAGGTGCTGTACTGCAGGAGTGATGACAGGGTTTCTTAATGCGATTTTCAATAAAGTTTTATTACACTGTGAAATGGGAGAGCACTCGCAGCATACCATTTTGTCTAACTGGAAAGACATCCACTGTTATATGCAAAAGTGCATGCATAGTGTCCAGCTTTTTTCTTTGAATGTCTTGAGTTTATAAGATTAATCTGTGGGATTCAAAAACTGTTGGATTTTTATTACTGTAAAACACACCTCTCTGTAGAATTAAGAAGAAAATGAAATGCTTGTGTCAGAGTCATGGTTACGCAGCAGTATTTCTGTACAAGTTGGTTGTGTTGCCCTTCAAGGTCAACTTGTTGAATCAGTAGCCAAGTATCAATAGGGGAGAGAAATTTCTCTTCAGCTGTTAATCCACAGGATCTATCCTTTACTAGCTCAGGAGTCTCATTTAGACATAGAAGGCTCGTTTGCTTCTGCCTTGCCAAGCCACACTAAGCAGCTGTGTAAAATGAATTTAAATGGCATGCATCAGAATAAAATCACTTCCACTGGGGCAGAAAATCAATGTTGGTTAACCAGGGCTGGATGATCGAGATCTGAGTGTCAGCCAGTTATACCTAGGAATCATTCTCAGTGCAGACCACTACCCTTTTAATTAGAGAAGATAAAATCATATAAATAGAAGTGGTGACTGTGCAAGATACTAGGTTTACACCATTTGAATTAGCCTTTGACCTCACCTTGAGGCCTGCTCTATGTTAAGCTTAGATTAATTTCTACAGCTAGATAATACCTTCCCTGTAACCTAAGGGAAGTAGTAAGTGTGCTAGTCTGTCTTGGGCATGCAGGCCAGTGTTTCCCAAATGATAACTAGCATGTCAGGCTAAAGAAAAGAAGGGGGTTTTTAAGACCTCCTCATTGAACCGGTAGTATTTGTGGTTTCACGCTACCCAGGATGTTTAAGCTTGGTCTGGGTAACTGTTTACAGCAGGCAATGCTAAATGACTCTCTGATATCCTGTATAGTAATTCCCCTTATTTTAAGAAGGGCAGTGTGAAGGAGCTGCAAAACAGTATTTTCATTTTTCTATCTGTCTTGATCTCAGCACACCCATTGACTGGTAAGGGCTGTATGTTGAAGACCGAATATATCCACTGAACTCCAAGGAGAGACATCTCATAACTTAGGTTGGCGTTGGCCGAGACCCCAAGGTCTGGTTCTGCTGCTGGAGGTTAGAATGCAGCGGAGGCCTCTGAGGCCTCCTTTTTGTCTAGGTGGCTTCAAAAAATACCATCTTTTATCACATTGTAGTTCTTACAACAATACATGTATTTATAGTGATAGATAAATATTTATGTGTGTGCAGACCTGCAATGCAGTAAGCCTTCAGTAAAAGCAAACAATTTTAAGCAAATGACATAGCATTTTCCCTGTTGATGTGAAAGGCAGTAAATTTAGCCAGTATCTTATAGTACCAGCCAATTTTGAGTTCCTCAGTTTGTAGATGCTGAACTTGAAACATTTCAGGACTATGTATTCACTGTCTGTGTGCTTTTGTTTGCTACAGTAAGTGCCCAGTACACACTTTTGAAAATTGATTATTAGGTTGCCACCTGAAGTCAACAGACATTTCTGGGGCTGGATGCTTGTCATCATCATTTTCAGCATCCCTCGTGCTAGCAGTGAGTCATCCTGAGCATGTCTTCTTAGCAGTTGAAGGTGTGACTGTAGTATATGGAAAGGTAAAAATGTAGCTGCGAAAGAGCTGGCTTACATACTATTAGCAGTGTGGCCTTGGGAAGACGTAATTTAGTACTATCTGGTTGTAAGATGCACATCCAACTGGATGCTAAACTGAGCTTTTTGCTGGTGCACCTATGGTTATCAATACCTGAACTAATTACTAAAAAATGAGTTTTGATGTGCCTACATGAGTAGCAATTCTGTCTTTGAAGGCAGCGTCTTTGACCTTAGTGTACTTGTACCTTAATATGATTCTCGGGATTGCATGTTGCAATTTTGTAAATTAAAGCCATTTTTTTATGTAGATGGAATGAATTTAGAATTCAGTGTCATTGATTTGAGAGGAGACGATTTAGACATAGTGGTTTATTAAACTGAGGAATTGGGATCCAGCTTAGCTATTTGCAACCTCTGGCCATTTTAAATCCTGGTCATTGGGTTGCTCAATTGAGGTGGATATTTACATTATCGTCCGCTGCTCCCCATGCCACCTGAGAAATGATGTTCGGTCTCTATAGTAATGTGTGGTGTTGCATTGCTTTGACATACTTTTAGGCACTCTAGAATGTGGTTCTGGTTCTAAACTGCTTAGCAGCTGGTTAAGTACTACAGTCTCATCATGGTGAGATCAGAAGAATTTAGGTAAGTTTTCATTCAGTCCTAAAATTGATCTATAAAAGCTG